TTCACTTTGAATATGTTATAATGTTATATTTATGTATTATAATTTAAGCCAATGGGCTTTTTTTAAAACATTTAGTTTCTTTTATAATCCAAGTTTGCACTTTTTTGAAATAATGTTATTTTAATTTTATTTTGAGTTTTTAAATTTTATTTTGATTTTTAAAACATTTAATTTCTTTTATAGTTCAAGTTTGCACTAAATTAATTTTATTTGAGTGTGCCAACGGGATATCAATTGGATTGCTTTAGTTTTGATGGGTTTAGATCTTTTTTGGATTAGTTTCCTAGTTGAAATTGGCATCTGTAAATGGAGATCTTGGCCCTCATGTTTAGTCTATAAATAGAGTTGTAAATTGTAATTGGAATTTTAAAGTTGATATTGTGGAACAAAATGTTTGTTGAAGTTGCCTGTGGGCTGAAGAGAAGGCTCTCCCTCCTCCCTTCCTTCTTGAAGATTTCTTCTTTTCATGCTTCCTTTTTTCTCCCTCTTTCTTGATGTTTTGCCACAATAATGGTTATCTGAATCTTTTTTTCTTACAATGGTTTTCAAAGTCTTAATCCCTCCTAAAGTTCAACATTTTTTGCTGGGAAGTTGCCTGCAAGAATCAACACCTGAAATTTGTTTCAAAAAGAAACATGGCTTGGTGCCTTATCTCTCAGGCATGCAACCTGCACCTTTCATTGGGGGGGGGGGGTATGTAACCCATCTCCTAATCTATTTTAGCTTTGCTACTGAAATCTGAAATTTTATTTCCAATGTAACTATGGAAATACTTTTTAGCTCTTTTCCTATCTAGAGTCTCAAAATATGCAGCTCCTCCTACCAAGGTGGTATTGGTGCCTTGTTAGAGTAAAAACATGTAGAGAAGTTTTCATTATGTGGATTTGTTGACCATTTGTCAAGAGAGGAATGCCAGGGTTTTCCACCACCAGTCAAGGTAGTATATCTAACTCATTCCATTAAGGACGCAAACATCTTTCTGAGCACTTTACTGACAAACACACAACAAAAGTGATTATCAGCCTAAAAAGAAAATTTTCAAGGCTCAATACAGTTCTGCCTGCATGCCTATCAGTGGGGTTCTTGCACTCCACTTTCTATAGGCAGGGATTTTAGTTGGTTACCATTTAAATGATCCACTGTGCTTGCACTGGAAAGCTTCAGCAGGATGCTCTCGGTTCAATTATCAAAGAGTGATCTGGAGTTTTCTAGATCTAGTCCACTCAGACCTAGGTTCATGCTGCATGGACTCGGAAGCAGGAATCGGAATATGATACATGTCTAGGTGTCTGACTGGGCAAGGATGAAAAATATGGATTTGTAGACATGCTTCCTAAAATTTATATTTTAATTTATACTACCTTTAAAATTACTTGTCTCTTATAGTTTGTAAACTTATTATTATATTTTTATTAGTAAATGGCTTTATTAACTTGTCTGGGCTCATTTTTTCTTTATGTTTTTCTAATTAGCATTTTAAGGCTCATTTTTTCAGCCCATGGGACTTGTTATTAGAAAAGAAGCCTATGGGCATCTTAAGTCCTCTAAACTTATTCGCTTTTTAAATAGATACCAGCTTTTAATTGATGAAAGTGGTAGTGATACAAAAGTTACATGGGCCTACCTTTTTTTAACTTTTTATTGGTTATATGGGTTAAGGACCTATGGAACAAAAGTTGCAGGCTGCAGCTTTATTGGAGAAAGGTGTACTTGTTTTTAACTGACATAAGGATGGCATGCCTTCTTATAGAGAAGGCTTCATCATTGCATAACAGGTAACGCTGACTCTCTCTCTCCAGCGTGTTTCTATCTCTTTTTCTTTCTCTTACAGTTGATCTCTTGCTTGTTCACAAGATGGGGGGGGGGTCTCCAAGGCAGTGTTACATGGAGACCTTAGTCTAGGCTTGGATCTGTGTCCATTAGTCAACTCAGTGATAGACTCAGCATCTGTCCAAGTCAGACAGATTTACAAGTATACTCATCACATCAACACATCCAAGCCTAGGAGACCCCAGCTGGTGAACACTCTAAATCTAAAGGGAACCTTAACCATGATAAAGGGAGGTTCATTGTGGGATAGTAAGATATTGATATTATAATTCATTTTAGAGAATAGTGGAATTTTTATAGTGGGATAGTAAGATATTGATATTATAATTCAACACATCCCTGCATCATTTGTCCTTCCAGTGGGATCAATTTTAAATGCTCTACCTTTATTTTACTTGAGAGATTAATATGTCAGTTTAGAGAATAGTGGAGAGATTGTTATATGGTATTTATTGATTTAGAAAAAGCCTGGACAGAGGATCCCTAGAGAGGTCATTTGGTAGGTTTTAGGAAAGAAAAAAGCTTCCAGTATATGTTCATGGGCCGGGTCTAATATATATTGATCTCATAAATGACATGCATCAAGAAGCAATAACCAGTGTGGGTCTAATATATACAAACTATCATGGTTAGTTTGTATGGAGAGTCGGTTCTTAGTTGCATTGTTTGTTAATACCAATATTGCAATTTTAATAGATGGGAAGATATTAGAAAGATGCACAAGGGCAGTAACCTTGTAGATTGTTTGGGGGGG